AATATCTGCCATCTGGTATGCTAAGTTGGAAGATTCTGTGAAGCAGAATTGGGAAGAATCGGTCGAGTCCTTCATTGCTCAATATTCTTACAATATGCAGATCGAGGTCATAACTAATGATCTTAAAGTGACATGTCAAGAGCCAAAGGAGGGCTTCTCTGAGTTTGTAACCAGGTGGAGGGCCAAAGCGTCAATGATGACCATTCGACCTTTAGAGAAAGACCATATCAGAATGGTTGTCTAGAATCTGCATGGCAAGCTGTTATAGAAAATGATTGTTCTCCCCTTATATACGTTCAAAGAACTTCATGAAATAGGGGTTCAAATTGAAGATGCCATGAAGTAGGGGATTATCACTGATGACAAAGAGCCGACCAAGAGGTTGTTTGTTCACAGTTCCAATGCTGCCGAAGGTAACACAGCTGCGGGGCCGTCAGAAGTAAGTGTTGTCACCACAACCAAAATTGCCGACCCCATCGTCAACATGGGCCCACAAACTTGCAACCCTACCTAACTTTCGAGTAAAACTTTTAACCAGCTCTACATGACCCTGTCCAAAGCCATGCAGGTGTTGATAAAAAAGGGGCACCTGAAACCCCTAGAACCTCGACCACTTCTGGACCCTCTTCTACCCAAGCACGATCCCAAAAAGTAATGTGCTTTCCATCAATAGCGCGGTCATGAAACCAAGTGATGCTTTCACTTACATCATGAGATTCAAGTCTTATCGACAACAAAGTCATCGCTGCACCCCAGAAACCAAATGTAACCACTAACTCACTTTCTGCCCACAATCAAGTCCTCCCAACCAGAAATCTCCACCTTATCCATACACTGCCACCCATCTTCGACCCAAGCATGTATATCACCCCCTCACACCTGCCAAAGCCGATCGCGTTCATTCCTGATAGCACAGACTTATGCATGATGGACACATCTTATCCACAACCTGAGCCTCATAAATAAGTGGTAACAACGCCTGCAGTTGACGTCGTGTTCATCTCTAATGGCACAAACTTGTGCAGTTAACCTCGGAGGAAGGTACTGGTCTGTCGTCGGAGTTTCTTGGAGACTCATTCGAAGGGAAGTACAACTCGAGCTATTACATTGTTCATGTTGCTCAACCCAGGCCTAAGGCAGTACTGCCGACCTTAGTTGACATTAATGTGGTTAGGGAGGATGGCCCGAGCCAGGGATTGGATGATCTTGCGGACCTTGAAGAAGATTTGGACAACCTACAATTCTTCAACGAACATGATCAAGGCAATGTGCAGATCGGGTGGTTGGATCTAAACAGGTCAATTAATAATACAGGGTGGCTGAGTGATAAATTTGACAAGGAAGAATAAACTGGAGTTAAAGTGGACAGAAAACAAGTCGGGATAACTATGGCAGCCGAGAAGACTAAAGAGAAAGGAAAACTGCCAGAGGATACTTGTGCGGGAAAACCAACCCAAGAATTGGGTGTTGTGGAAACAACAGATACTGAATAGGAAGTTGCGCTAAGGCAGTTTGAAGGAGAAAGAATTGAAGACAACCAAAAAATCACAACAGATGGATTCCCTGAGGGGGACACTTGTACTGTAAAGGTGATCCAAGTTGAGCCGGACAGCTGTCTGTCGGTAGCTGATGGTAAGTGCTGGAAAGATAGTGAACTGCTTCTTGCCATACCGATGAAGATTAGGGAGATCACAATCTAGACAATATAAGGTATTCGGAAGAAATAGACCATCTCACTAGAAGTGGATAGTATTTCAAACGCCCATATCTGGATTAGGTAGAGCCATCAGGAAAGGACTGGGAGGTTGAGAAGGAAAAGGAAAAAAAGTTAGAAGAGGAGCAAGTTCTAAAGTAACTCAAGAAGATCCAAGCTGACATCTCCATATGGGGACTCCTCATGGCTTTATGAGTACGCCGACAAGTAGTATTGTTGGCAATGGATAAGGCTAAATTGTCCATTGATACTATGTCAGAACAACTTGTGGGCCTAATTTTCCCAAGTAGCACCAAGCCCATGCTCACGTTCTCTGATAAAGAGCTGCTGCCAGCAAGCCATTGTACATATCCATTGAGCACAGATAGAAGTGGGTGCCAATGGTTTTAGTGGACATCGGCTCTGCTATTAATGCCTGTCATTCTCACACTGCCTATGCGATAGGCCTAAGACAGACGGATTTCATCCCCATAGCCTAGGTGATACGGGCATATGATAACACGAGCAGAGAAGTTATGGGGACAGTGAAAGTGTCAGTCCAAATGGGCCCTTCTGAGAATGAGATCGAGTTCAATGTACTTGATGTGCCAAGGCTATATCCTCTACCCTCCATCAAATGCTGAAATACCCTCATGAGGGAGGAGGAGCAACCGTTTTTGGGAACTCATCCATACATCCACCGCTAGAGGTAACAACACCATTGCTAGAAATCAATCATAGCGATGAGGATGTATTTCCCTCTAGGTTCACTCTAGCGGAAGCCCGAGTAGTGCGGACAATCTTGGCCATGAACGAAGGCATGTACGTCAATGCTCAGTCCATCTATTTCATGAACAAGTTGTGGCATGTTTCAGGAATGGGACTTGGAAGGAGTGCACGAAAAGGTGTTATGGTATCAGCTGAAGTACTGCATAATCCACATGCCTTTGGGTTGGGCTATGTACCCACCAAAGAGGACTAGAGAAGAAATGGGGAGGAAATGAGAGATAGAGCTAAGGCAAAAGTCGAGAAGCAATATGAGTTGGTCCACAGGCTAATCTAGGGGACGCTAAATGGGTGCTTTATCAGAGAAGTTGAGGATTTCCCCTTCTATGGCTTTCTTGAGCCTTGGTGGATTCCTTGATGAAGAAACGTGTCCCCGAATTTGAGATCTTCTTTTACCACTAGCTACAAGACAATGACAAAAAGAGGACTGAACTAAGCATCAATGCTGGCCAAAGCAAAGAGGATAACTCAGACAACAGTGAGGCTGGAGTAGGGGCAGCATTCGCCAATCTCCTGATAGATCCTGTGACCAACACGAAGAACTTGAGGGATACCTTTACTATCTCTATGATCAGAGAGGAACCGGTTGTAAACTCCACCAATGACATTTTGGATGCATCGAGGGCGCCACACCTCACTTGGCAATTGGAGAAAAGCTTTCTTTCTAGTTCTGAATCGGATGATGAGCCAGAATCTGATTCCACCGAGTCTGTTGAGTCGGGATCAGATTTGAGTTAGTCCGGGGAAGTCTAAGTCTGGCATTTCCGGGAGTGGTAATCGGGATGCCAAGGTCCTGTCTAGGTCCTCTTTTTCTTTCTCTTTCGAGTCTGTTGTAACCAAAGAGCCGGAACTTATGAATGAGAATGCTGTAGATTTCGTTTACTTCTCTGTACCACTAATTTAATGCATTGACCAAGATTTTCAAATTTTTAATGAAAATGAAGAGAAAGAAATTCCTCAGGCTTTGAAAAACTTGATTGACCGAGAGGAGGAGAGGCGCGCTAAGCTCTGCATAGATGAAATCATTACAATTAATGTGGGTACTGAAAAGGATCCCTGCTTGGTCTAGATTGGGTCTACGTTGTCTTCGGAGAAACGTGAGCATTTAATCGCTTTATTAAAAGATTTCAAAGATGTTTTCGTGTGGTCCTACGAAGATATGCCTGGAATCGATCTTGAGATTGTACAGCACTGGATCCCTCTTGACCCCGAGACCCAACCAATCAAACAGAAACTGCACATAATTCATCTAGATTGGGCGTTGAAGATTAAAGAGGAGGTCACTAAACAGATTGATGCAGGTTTCTTGGTGGTGTCTGAGTACCCGACTTGGCTGGCTAATATTGTTCCAATTCTAAAGAAGGTTGGTAGAATCAAAGTCTGTGTCGACTTTTGGGATCTGAATAGAACTAGTCCAAAAGACGACTTTCCATTTCCTCACATCGATGAACTGGTAGATTTCACTGCAGGCCATGCATTACTATCATTCATGGATGGGTTTTCAAGGTGTAATCAGATCTTGATGGCACCGGAGGACAGAGAGAAGACTGTATTCACCATATTGTGGGGGTACCTACTGCTATAGAGTTATGCCTTTTAGGTTAAAGAATGTCGGGGCTATATATCAGAGGGCTACAACCACCATCTTGCACAACATAACCAATAAGGAGATTGAGGTGTATGTGGACGACATGATTGTCAAGTCTAAGGAGCAAGAAGGCCACTATATCGCATTGGAAAAATTCTTTGAACGGATCAGGGAATACAGACTGAAGTTAAACCCACAAAAATGCACCTTCGAGGTGACTGCAGGAAAAATGCTAGGATTTCTGATTACACAGAGAGGAATTGAAATAGATCCTTTCAAAATCAAGGTCATCTTAGAAATGCCACCATCGAGGATTAAAAGGAGTTACGCGGCTTTCTGGGTGAAGTGCAATTCATAAGACGGTTTATCTCAAAGTTAACCTGGACTTGTGAACCACTGTTTGGTCTCTTGAAGAAAGGGAATAAGTTCCAATGGGATGATCGATGCCAGTTCGCTTTCGAACAGGTCAAGCAGTACTTGCAGAATCTATCTATATTGTCACCACCAGAGCCGGGAAAGCCGCTGATCTTGTACTTGTCGGTAACAGATTCAACAATGGGGTGCATGTTAGCTCAAGAATCAGAAGCTAAAGTGGAGAAGGCCATCTACTATCTGAGCAAGAAGATGCTGGATTATGAGACCCACTACACTCAACTTGAAAAAACTTGCCTAGCTTTAGTTTGGGCCACCATGAAGTTGAGGCACTACTTGTTAGCTCACTTTGCACTACTTGAGAAACCGGCACTTACGGGTAGGCTAGCTCGTTGGTTGCTTCTCCTCTTCGAGTTTGACCTCAAGTACGTCACACGCAAATCTGTCAAAGGGAGAGCCGTAATGAAATTCCTAGCAGACCACCCAGTGAAAGGAGACAAGGCAATCAAGTACCTATTTCCGGATGAGGAGATTCTGCAGATAGAAGAGCAGACATAGACAATGTACTTTGGCAGAGCCATTAATCAATACAGTTATGGGATAGGCGTCTTGCTGATAGCATCCAATGATTCCTATATACCTCTACCCTTCAAACTCCGGTTCAAAGTGTCTAACAATGAGAATGAATATGAGGCGTGTATCGTTGGCTTGGAAGCTGCCCTTGAACTAGGGACAATAAGGTTGGACGTCATCGAAGACTCGAGCTTGGTTGTTTCTCAAGCCAATAGAGACTGGAATGTTAAGGTAGAAAAAATGAAGGTTTATCATCAAACCCTGGATGTTCTGATTCCAAGATTTGAAAAACTGACATATACACATCTGCTAAGAGAGAACAACCGGTTCGCTGACGCATTAGCAACTCTATCTTCCATAGTAGACATCCCACTTGGAGTCAAGATGCATCCGATTATCATTGAACAGAAGTATACGCCTGCCTATGAGACCATTACGATAAATAAGGTTCAAGACAAGAACCCCTGGTATTACGACATTTGGAATTTTTTGGAGAATGATACGTATCCACCAAGGGAAAATGCTAAGGAAAAAAGGGGAATACGGCGTCTGGAAATGCGCAAGCTCTGCGTCGAAGAAGAAGAATCGAAGCGTCTCATGGAGGCCATTCATGGGGAGAGTGTGGAGCACACATGAATGGTGTGATGCTGGCTAGGAAGATCCTTAGGTAAGGCTATTATTGGTCAACTATGGAGAAGGATTATATCAACTTTGGTCGACGATACCACAAATGTCAAATCCATGCTAATCGCATAAACATCCCACTATCAAAGCTTTACAACACGACTTCGCCATGGCCTTTCTCAGTTTAGGGAATTGACGTCATTAGGGCAGTCTTGCCAAAGGGTTCAATTTGACATGAGTACATTCTAGCGGCGATAAACTATTTTACCAAGTGGGTGGAAGCTCAGTCTTACTTTGTGCTGAAGGCATCACATATGGCCAAGTTCATCAGAAATAACATCATCTTCAAGTATAGGGTACCAAATGAGATCATCTCAAACAACGACTACCACTTCAAAAAAGAGGTGGTCGATTTGCTCGAGAAATACAACATAGACTTTCACAAGTCATCAACATACAGACCACAGACCAATGGAACTATTGAGGCTGCTAATAAAAATGTCAAGAACATCCTGCAGAAGATGGTGAAAACTTACAAAGACTGACTAGATAAACTGCCATTTGCACTCTGGGGTTATAGAACATCGATTAGAACATCTACAGGTGAAACCCTATATTCTCTAGCGTATGGGATGGAAGCTGTTCTACCGATTGAGATTGAAGTACCATCGCTACGGATTATGGCTGGGTGTCAAATAGCGGAGGCAAATTGGCAGCAGAGCAGGTTTGAAGAATTGATGTTGTTTGATAAGAGAAGGTTAAAGGCGTTATATCACATTCAAGGATATCAGTGCAGAATTGCCAGGGCCTTCAACAAAAAAGTCAAATCTAGAAACCTTAGGGAGAGAGATATGATGCTAAAAGGCAACTGAGCTCCCATTCATGACCCTAAGGGCAAGTTCAGACCCAATTGGAGTGGTACTTACATCATCAAATCTATCTAGTCAAGAGGAGCAATTATCCTTATGGATTTAGATGGCTTAGAGTTCTCACAGCCGATCAATATGGACAAGTTGAAGAAATACTATCCCTGAGAGGCTCGCTAGGCCGAAAACCAGAAAAAGCTACCTACGCAAAAGTTAGAGCATGAAAAATTAGAAACAAAGAAAAACTGAGCTCGCAAGGTCGAAAACCCGAAAGGGTGGCTTTGGCAAAAGTTAGAGCGCAAAAGGAGAGAGTAAATACTCGAATGAACCCGAACTGAACTACGTAAAGCTTGATTTTCATCTTTAGAATACGTAGGCAACTTTATCCTGAAGTTTGTCAATAACCATCTCCAACTCAATTGTCCTGTCCATTTGTTTGATTGGTCTATTTTTTTCCATCGCCTATTAGCTTGGTTGTGTTGCCTCCGCCTTGGCAGAAGGGCTAGTTACAAGATAAAACAATGATGGTAAATGCAGTTGTGAGTAGTTATGATCTTCTAATTTGAGGTTGTACATCTTAAGGACTGATTTCGTGTGTGTCAGGTAGTGACCGTTTTTGAAAATTGTTTTGAAAAGTTTTAATAAAGTTGATTTTCTCAAAATTTTACATTTTTCAACTCAGACCATTCTTTAGACCAAAAAGGAAAATTTTTAGTACTCGCAACCTTAATTCCATTGATTTCAACACAAGTACATTCTCCAACTCTTTAGTTAAATCAAAGTTGCTTTTACATCATGGAACTTGAAAGAAAAGTCAAAGAAATAAACTAGGGGCACAAATAAGTCAGGTGGTCCTATGTCTTCTGCTCGCACTCGTGGAAGTCTCTGCCACCAAAGTTGGCCGAACCTGTGCCTCGTCATCAAGTCAAGTCAAGAATTCATCGAAAAGGGTGTAACTGAAGTTAGGGATAGGGGCTAGAAGTTCTCTCGTCCTCTAAGTAGTGAGGTACCGAACCAAATGCAAAGCACAAATGGGAAATAGAGCTGGATATTCCACCCCTTCCTTTGGACAGGTTTGATCATGTCCAAAGTGGTGTCTGAACCTAAATGGGAAATAGAACACCTAGTGCGTAAGGCCAATCAACTGTATACCCGGCTGTCGGGACATGTAGCTCATCTTAGTCAGGTTAAGCCAGGGGCAAAGCCAAGCAATGTCAGCCACAGATCTGCTACACATCCAGTCGCACCATAATCCCTCTAAGGGAAAATCCACTAGCCGTGGATGAAAAAAGTAGGATCTGGCTTCAGCTTATTCATCAACCACGCCTAGGGAGGGATAAAAAATAAGAGAGAGTAAAGAATAGAGAGATGTGTGTTGAGAGAAAAGTAAGGATAGGGCTTTGAGAGAAAAAATAGAGAGTAAGTGCTGAGTGATGTGAGGAATCACAAATAAGAAAGTGTGAAAAACAATACCAGGAGAAGCAATGGACTCCCTGCAAACCGAGTAGTCTCCTGCTGATGAAAAACATCTAAACCCATCAAGGTCTCAGCCAGTGCCAAACCAATGCAACTCTTACCGTCTTTTAGACGTTAGGTCACCTTAATCAACCCAATGTTGGTTCCACCACAACTAGGGGCAAGAAAAAAATGTGCAAGCAAGCATAAGCAGACGGCATGTTGGCGATGACCTCGCCAAAGAAGGTCACCTCTGTATCCAATACCTGAAAATTGATGAATTAAGCAGGGAATGTCCAACTCCCCGTCGTGAGCCAAGGATCGAGCCTCATGGAGAGTGAGCCCACACATGTGTTCTAGAGCCCGTGCATGGCCAAAATGGAGATGAAGCATAATCTCCTCACCACACCAGGCCACCATCAAAGCCTGAAATTCATCGAGTGTAAAGCACATCTCTTATGCTCCAAAGCAAAACACACGTGTAACTAGGTTCCAACATCGAACCGCAACATGGAGGAATGGAGCGAAGCACAACTTAGCGAAAAAAAAATGTTTATGCCGAAACCTCAAAAATTTACCTTTTCCATGCCGTCCAAAGTGGCTACCCAATCCTTGAGCCTTTCGGTAAGAAATATCACTATTTTCAGAGAAAACGGTAGCAAAAATGAAGTTATGTCGAAGAAACAACAAATGAAGGCCTTTTATAGACGATAAGGCTGCGTGAGTGTCAGCCAGCTATCCAGCCACAACACTTGGCCGGCCGACTACCTCTCTTGGCTAGTTGTTCTTTCAGTTGGCTGGCCGACCAGATTTGTTGGCCAGGCATCTGGGTTTGTTCTGGTCTTTTTGCTTTGAGGTGTTGTTTTGAGTCTTTTGCTTTCAGCAAGTGTAGATAGTTGTGTTTAGGTTGTTTTTAGTCTGTTTTTCATTTATCGAGTTGTATTTCGCATTTTGGGTTAGTTGTCGGCTCAATATCCGGTTACGAACAGCATTCAAATATATGCATTTTGCACATTCAGTTCCAATTTTATACAAGGGTGGTGCCAATCCAGAGATGTTGTGCAAAACAAAACTCCTTTTATAAAACTACAGGGTTTTACCCCGATCATAGTTTTTTTACAAAAGAGTACAAATGTTTGAAAAAAAAGAAGTAAAGACCTATCTGAAGCTATACAAATGCTAAACTACCAAAATAAAAGAAAATAAGCAAAAGAGTACAAAAATCTTCATTAGTCGCATCAGACAGCCCGAGAGGCCCTCTTCGTCCTCTTCCAGGGGGGGACTCAGGGGCACTATTGTTGTTGGCACCGCTATTATCAGATTAGTGGGACTTAGAGCCAGAGGCGACATTGCCCTCTCTACTCCCTAACTCAGAGCCGATATCGGCATCCTCCTCGCTCCCTGAACCCAAGCTAGCATCATCATCCTCACTTTCAAACTTAGAACATCTGCTCTCTATCTCCTCGGTGTTGCTATTCTCGGCGTCATCTCTACTCAAAATCGGCTCCAAGAAGGAGGAAGTCTCCTCTGTCTGGGATTCGCTGCTCTGACTCTGAGCACCCCTGCCTCTACTCTTATCCCAGCAGCGTGCTAGGGCCCGTCTGCCTCTTCTCCCTGCCACTGGAAGAGGTGTCGCTGGTGCCACAAGTACAAAAGGAAGCTAAAAACAAGAAACATGAAATCAGTACAGTGCAGAATCAGTACAGAGCAGTACAAGGAATCAGAACAATATAAAACAGAGTTTGTATGGGTATGAATTAGAGCAGTCAGGTGTATGAAAGAATGAAGAATACTTGGATATCGTAGAGAGTAAGCAGTGTCTCTCTCCTCTATACCATCTGGACCAGAGAGGCGACCAACTAGAGAAGACCATCTGTGTACTCCATTGGGGCCTGCAAGTGAGTTTGAACAATCAGTGTGACGACCTTAACCTCCGAACCAGTATATTATGTTATTTTAATGAGCCTAATTGCATGGTTGTGTGCTTACTTATGTGATTACATGTTTACTTTCGTAATTATCTGTTATTACATGGAATATCTATTAGAATTGACCACTTAGAGACAGAAATTGATGGACTACACAGCTTTAGAAACAGAAATTGAATAGGTTAATAGACTAATTAGAATATTTAGAATTTTATGGCACCTTTAATTGAAAACTTATTTTGATCAAAATAATTAGAATAAACTAATTGAATTAATTACAATTGAGCCTAAATTACTCAACCTTAATTATACTTGATTAGGCTAAGCTAATCACACCATATAAATAGCTTTAATCAAGCTTATAGGCTCATATTTACACACATTTGAGCTGAGAATTTGAGGAAGGAAGAAAAGACTCAACACTTTAGAGAGAGAAAGAGGAGATTTGAAGAGAATTGCTAGACCAACACTTAAATTCACACATTAAGTATGAGACTCATCCTAATTTCTTGGAATTGAGTCATGTAGAAACTAAGTGCATGGAGTTATAGGATCATGTGCTTGAATTTGAGTAGGTTGAGCATGAATTACCATGAATCTGATGAATTTGAGTTGAATTATGCACATGCATGCTTAATCTTTCATTTTTGATTTAAGATTTCTTGAAATTCATACATGCATGAAGCTTAGGAGGCATGAACTTGAAGATCATCCATGGATTCATGCATTTCATATCACTTAGTGGTGTTTTAACATGAAGAGAACTCAATCCATAACATGCATGGTTTTAACTTGCGGTGTTTTAACATGAAGAGAACTCAATCCATAACATGCATGGTTTTAACTTGCTAGTATAAACTCAAATTTGGACAATTAGAGCATGATTTTGAAAAAATGGTTTCAAATTGGAAGTATTTTCATGTTATACAATGTTTTTCCAAGTTTTTGTACCAAAAACACAAGTTTTGAGGCTTTGAATATCAACCTAGAAGCTCAAACATAGTTCTGGAAATTCCAGAATTCGTCGTGTCTGCTCAATCGAAGAGAGTGCTGCTAAAGCCTGAAAGTCGAGCTCCCAGAAGTTTTATAAAATTTTATAGTCTGCTCGAGCGACCAAAGTGGCACTCGAGCGAGGACCCTTTTTACGCAGTCTTCCGCTCGAGCGACCGTCAAGCGGGAATTTCATGCAGCCAGTACTTTTGCCAAGATTGCAGACCGATCGAGCGATAGAAGTTGCGCTCGAGCGACCACCTTTGTTTTTGAGCCCCTACTCAAGCGAAGGAAGTTGCACTTGAGCGGAGACCCTGTTTTCAGCAAAATTTTGAGAAACTCTTTTAAGTGCATATTTGCATCCTCATGCCACTCCAAGTGTTCTTAGGCACCATTTGAACTCTTATAATCATAGAATGAGTTAGAAACACATAAGGAGAACTGAATTAAAATGAATTAGTGCTTCAACTGTGCTTCTGTTATGTGTTTTGTTTAGGTGGATGTCCGAGGCTTAGTGACAACTCAAACCACTGTGAGTAGTAACTTTATAAAGATATGTTGAAGTAATATTATTTTGAAATTGTTATTGTTCCTGAAATCAATATGTGATTGATTGAATGGCTTATCGAAAAGTTATTTTGTAATGATGAATGAAGTTCATTTTTGAAATGTATTTGTGGTATCCATTGAACATAGGCCCTTGCGTGGGGGTAACAATACCATGGCTATTGGATTATTTGAAAGACAAAGATCTCTAGTGTTTGACCCTTCGTGGTCCATTGGCTTTCGCTTCACTGTGATTGGAATATTATTGTTCATGGGTGTGCCACTTAATTGATATTAAATGACATCAATCATGAAATTTATTGGATACAAAGAACTGAAATGAGAATTTGATTATCATGTTATCGAACTTCATTCATATAGCCTTAACTCTTTATTCTGTTATTACTCACTGGGCTCTAGCTTACTATTTATATATATATATATATATATATATAGGTGGGCAACCTGAACAACAGAGTTAAGAAAGCCTCGAGTCTACCCAGGTCAGCCTTTTGAGGAGCTTCCAAGTGAAGTAACCAGGCTCGGGTAGAGCCATGCTAGTCGAACCCCTTTTTGTACGTTTCAGTGATTTTGTATTTGTATATAGTTGGGGTTGTATTTTTGTAAGACATGAATTTTGTACGATTGCGATGGATGTACTTTTGGAACAAAACTTTGCTTATTATACTAGTTCTTTACATATACGCACAGCTCAATGGATAATTTCTATGTCATTTTAAACTTCCGCTAAGCCCTGTACTTTATATTATAAGATTCATTTGTATGGAGGCCATAGGTAATCTATGATCACTGGCCGGTCATGACGCTAAACCTATAGGGACGGGGTTAGGTCCTGACAGAGTGGTATCAGAGCACAAGTTATATCTCACTCGCTTGTCCATTGAGCTATAGAGAGTCTAGAAGAGACTTCAGGATTGCATTCATGCATAATTAAATATTAGAGTGAGACAAATTGTATGGTCACATGTTTTGAATTCGTATATGTAGATATATTTTGTTTGTTGTGTTTGTTATAATACAAGTTTTATATAGAAAATGGTGAGAATAAGCGGTGATGAACTAGAGGAGGCAACCTCCTTAAGATTGGATAGAATGGAATGAATGATGCAAGATATGGCTAAAGCCATAAGGCAACAACAGCAGTGGCAACAACAACAACAACAACAACCACCACCACCCCCATCTCCAATGCCTGTGCCACCTCCAGCTCCAGGGTGTCAGCCGCAGACTTATACTATTGCTTTGACTAGAGAATTTAAAAAAATGAAGCCACCAGAGTTTCATGGCGGAATTAAACCATTGAAGGCCAAAGCTTGGGTCTTACGAATTGAAAAATTATTTGAAGTGTTTCCATGTACCGATGCTCAGAAGGTACAACTAGCTGCATTCACATTGGAAGATGATGCATGGCGTTGGTGGATGTTGGTTCGAGATAACAACAAAGACGCTACTTGGGCTCGTTTCCAAGAAATCTTTTACGAGAAATACTTTCTACAATGTGTGCGGGATAGAAAAGCAGTTGAATTCATGGAAGTCAAGAAAGGAAAGAAATCAATTGCCGAATATGAGGCTCAGTTTATAAAGTTAGCTTGCTTTGCACCCCACATGGTAGATACAGATTACAAAAAGGCCAGACAATTTGAGGGAGGTTTGCGTGATCCAATTTTGGATAAAATCAATGTGCTCAAATTGCTGACATACGTGGATGTACTGAATAGGGCACTAATAGCTGAAAGAAATGTGGCCAATCGTAAACAGAACTTCAAATGGAAGGGCAAAAAATAGAAATTTAATAAGGGGGCTACGTCAACAAATAAGAAATTAAAATCTGGGAGTTCCAGTAATACCAGTTCAAGCCAAGGTGGCAATTCGACACCAACTTGTGATACTTGTGGAAAGAAACATTGGGGTGTTTGCTATCGCATATCAGGGGCTTGCTATCACTGTGGAAAGACAGGACACATCGTAAGGCATTGTACGCAACCACGTCGAAGTGGGAATCATGGAACTGCAAGTTCAACTAGATCTACTGCAACAATGTGAACAAACGCGGGAACAAACGCAACACCCACTACAATAAGAAATGAACAAAGGCAAGAAAGGGTTTTTGCACTGATTCTAGGGGATACTCAAAATTCTAGGCCTGCAAATGAGTTTGAACAATCAGTGTGACGACCCTAAGCTCTGAACCAGTATATTATGTTATTTTAATGAGCCTAATTGCATGGTTGTGTGTTTACTAATGTGATTGCATGTTTAACTTCGTAATTATTTGTTATTACATGAAATATCTATTCGAATTGACCACTTAGAGACAAAAATTGATGGCCTACATAGCTTCAGAAACTGAAATTGAATAGGTTAATAGACTAATTAGAATATTTAGAATTTTATGGAAACTTTAATTGAAAACTTATTTGGATCAAAATAATTAGAATAAATTAATTGAATTAATTAGAATTGAGCCTAAATTACTCAACCTTAATTATACTTGATTAGGCTAAGCTAATCACACCATATAAATAGCTCTAATCAAGCTTATAGGCTCATATTTACACATATTTGAGCTGAGAATTTGAGGAAGGGAGAAGAGACTCAACACTTTAGAGAGAGAAAGAGGAGATTTGAAGAGAATTGCTAGACCAACACTTAAATATACACATTAGGTACGAGATTCATCCTAAATTCTTGGAATTGAGTCATGTAGAAACTATGTGCATGGAGTTATAGGATCATGTGCTTGAATTTGAGTAGGTTGAGCATGAATTACCATGAATCTGATGAATTTGAGTTGAATTATGCACATGCATGCTTAATCTTTCATTTTTGAGTTAAGATTTCTTGAAATTCATACATGCATGAAGCTTAGGAGGCATGAACTTGAAGACCATCCGTGGATTCATGCATTTCATATCACTTAGTGGTGTTTTAACATGAAGAGGACTCAATCTATAATATGCATGGTTTTAACTTGCTAGTATAAGCTCAAATTTGGACAATTGGAGCATGATTTTGAATGAATGGTTTCATATTGGAAATATTTTCATGTTATACAATGTTTTTCCAAGTTTTTGTACCAAAAACACAAGTTTTGAGGCTTTGAATATCAATCTTAAGCTCAAACACAGTTCTGGAAATTCCAGAATTCGTTGTGTCCGCTCGAGCGAAGAGAGTGCTGTTCAAGCGTGACAGTTGAGCTCCCAGAAGTTTTATAAAATTTTACAGTCCACTCGAGCGACCAAAGTGGTGCTTGAGCGAGGACCCCTTTTACTCAGTCTTCCGCTCGAGCAATCGTCGAGCGGGAATTTCATGCAACCAATACTTTTGCCAAGATTGCAAACCACTCGAGTGACAGAAGTTGTATTCGAGCGACCACCTTTGTTTTGAGCCCCCGCTCGAGCGAAGGAAGTTACACTCGAGCGGAGACCCTGTTTTCAAAAAAAATGAGAAACTCTTTTATGTGCATATTTGCATCCTCATGCCACTACAAGTGTTCTTAGGCATCATTTGAACTCTTATAATCATAGAATGAGTTAGAAACACATATGGAGAATTGAATTAAAATGAATTGGTGCTTCAACTGTGTTTATGTTATGTGTTTTGTTTAGGTGGACGTCCGAGGCTTAGTGACAACTCAAACCACTATAAGTAGTAACTTTATAGAGATATGTTCAAGTAATATTATTTTGAAATTGTTATTGTTCTTGAAATCAATATGTGATTGATTGAATGGCTTATCGAAAATTTATTTTGTAATGATGAATGAAGTTCATTTTCAAAATGTATTTGTGACATCCATTGAACATAGGCCCTTGCCTGGAGGTAACAATACCACGACTATTGGTTGTAGGCCCTTACCTGGAGGTAACAATACCATGGCCATTGGATTATTTGAGACACAGAGATTTCTAGTGTTTGACCCTTCGTGGTCCATTGGTTTTTGCTTCACTGTGATTGGAATATTATTGTTCATGGGTGTGCCACTTAATTGATATTTAATGACATCGATCATGAAATTTATTGGATATAAAGAACTGAAATGAGAATTTGATTATCATGTTATCGAACTTCATTCATATAGCCTTTTTATTTTGTTATTACTCATTGGGCTCTAGCTCACTATTTATTTATATATATATATATAGGTGGGCAAGCTGAACAACAGAGTTAAGAAAGCCTCGAGTCTACCCAGGTCAGCCTTTTGAGGAGCTTCCAAGTGAAGTAACCAGGCTCGGGTGGAGCCATGCTAGTCGAACCCCTTTTTGTACGTTTCAGTGATTTTGTATTTGTATATAGTTGGGGTTGTATTTTTGTAAGACATGAATTTTGTACGATTGCGATGGATGTACTTTTGGAACAAAACTTTGCTTATTATACTAGTTCTCTACATATACGCACAGCTCAATGGATAATTTCTATGTCATTTTAAACTTTCGCTAAGCCCCGTACTTTATATTATGAGATTCATTTGTATGGAGGCCGTAGGTAATCTATGATTACTGGCCGGTCATGATGCTAAACCTGTAGGGGCGGGTTTGGATCCTAACAATCAGTATCCAAAAGGAAAATACGAAATGCAAACTATAAACCAAAGGTCCATACTTGCTACGCGTCAGGATCCCTGACGTACCGGTGCTTCTCCTCCAGCGACTCTATCGAAATTTGATAGGTCGACCTACTCAGCCGCCAGCATGGGATCACGGTCGGAATTGCTGGCCAATCGGCTATATGTACAGCAATAAAAACCCCACCAATATCAGCCCCAACAGTGTGAGCAGCCCCGACAGCCACAAGGGCACCTACAATGTCTCATACGCTAACTCCGGTCAAGGGTGGCATCAGATGAGTCCAAATGAAAGTTGCGTAGTCCCCAATGCCTCGGAAGAAATCGGTATCCTGCCCTGCCATGTAATGTACGATAGCCTCAACTGGGAGGCTATCAGCTCATGGATACTGGAGGAGGGGCAAAAACCACCGGAGCAAGAAGTCCCATGGTCTGGCGCACGAACCACTTTTCTAAATAGCAGGTTCGGCAGAATGGACCCTCCAATAAGATCTGAAATAGAGAGGTAGCTCAAGACCCGGCATACTGATCCCGTGTGTCCACGGCTGCCACGTGATCTGTAAATGAAGAATTCACAGTTGTTAGTTGTTGTTAGTTGTCAGAGTATGAATCAAAGCAATAACAATAGACATGAAACAGAAGTGAACATGAGTTTCAGACTACCTCACGAGCTGCCACCCTGTCAAAATATTGGCAGTAATAAGAAAAAATGGTATCGTCAAGACACCTTGGGTTGCACCTGCTGTCATAATGCCAGGAGTAAGGCATGGCCTGCTCTATCTCGTCCCTCAACACCGGGGCAAGGGCAGGGAAATAAGCACAGGCCCGTAGCTGCAAAAAGAGATCAGTTTGTATGAGTCAACATGTATGAGCAGATATAAAGACAGAAAGTGCAAAGCTGAAAGCACAATATATGAACAGAGATAGAGACAGAAAGTGAAAAGTAGAAAGTATATGAACAAGCAAAGAACTGAAATTGATGTGCAGTATGTACCTCCCAGGCTCTCCAGTAGCCTCCGTCCTTGTTTCCCTTCTTGTGAGAACCAGAGCTCATGTACTCGTACAAGATGGCGAGGCCAGCACCACCCCAGTCATAGAACCACACCCAGGGTAGGACTACAAGAGCACTCAATAGGTACAAGCGTACGGTATTCCACCTATTCGCAAATAAGGTGGTACCGATGAGGTAGATTAGGAATCCGTGAGTATACTGCTCAATCTCCTCTTGAGTCTCTAGTTGGCTTCCATGGAAACGGTTGTAGAACCAACTGTATCGAACCATGGCCAGCCTGTCCAAAGAAGGGCATGCATTGAGCAGATGAATCCATACAGCCTCCCACTAGCCCATGTCTATGTCAAAAGGGATCGGATCATCCCCTACTCTCAAGCTAGTAATCATAGAGAAGTCGTAGGGAGTCATCGTCATCTCCTCTGTGGAAGAGAAGTGGAAGGAGTTGGTGGTGTCCCACCATCTCTCCACCAAAGATTCGAGTAGAGCCCGGTTGGCCAGCAGTTGCGAAAGTTCGGAGCAAAATTAGCTGAAGTTTGCCTCGTCAACTAGCTCGCAGACCAATCTCTAGCGGTCACTACTCCATATCCTCTTCAAAAGAGAGCGACAACCTGTGTTGACAAGGAAAGAAAGCATCAGATGTGCAATAGAATAAAAGACGGTAATGAAAGGCAATATTAAATGGCAAAAAACAAGAGAAGTGCAAGAAAGTAAGGTTTTTTACCTTAACAACGTCATGGGAAAGATGGGAGGCCCGCTCCCTCAACAGGACATCCTCGGGCATGCCCATAGTAAAATCCTCAAATCGCAACATCCCTTCAGGGGTCATCGCATGTGTCCGGGGGTGGTAAGTGGCCAGATCAAAGGGACTCACCCTCAGCAGTGGCAACTCCGGCTCATGCCCTAGGAGGTATATCTCCTTTTCCTCGATGTCAACGGCAATGTCATCCACCGCCCCGCCGGCCTTGTCAACTACCGGCTGCTCAACCTCTGCAATAGATGGAAGTATTGGTACCTCGGGAGGGACACCGTTGTGAGGAATACCATCTGCCATGGAGAAATATGGGAGAAAATGGAGAAAATGAGGAAAAAAATATAGAAAACTTTAAAAATCTAACCCTAGGAGAGAGAAAATGAGAGAAAAAGTCAAAACTCGAGAAAAAGTGTGAAACATGAGAAAAACGCGAGGGAAATGAGCCAAAAGTGATGAAA